TGATAAATTGCAATTCATCTTGCGTCTTCATATCGGCTGCACTGACGGTAATAAACTGGTCGTGTTCCTCAACAACTGTGAAAATGTTATTATCATCAAGTGGTTCATCTGTAAAGAGTTATTTAACTGGGATAAGTAATTGTTTTCTCGAAAGAGAAAAAGGGAGAGAGTTTTTCGAGAGATACTAATGACTCCGTTCATCAAAAATTATATTAAATTAATTTAATTTCATCATTTAATAGCCAACTTTTTTCACACGCCAAAATGAATACAATAAATTTTCAGTGGCAAAATAACGGTTCACTCGATGACAGCTACATTATAATGATGCCATATGGCCATTACTGCATTAACATTAATGTTGCCACACTGTTTAGTTTTTAAACACACAAAACAACAAGGTTGTTATTAAACATATGAGAGAGAGTTTGGGTGGTTGTGGTCGATTGATTGAAGGTAGGTAATGTGGAATGAGGAAACAAAACAAAATGTGCGCACATATTTAATAACACATAAATCAATGGCAGCAAATAGCAAAACACAAAGCGGCAACGACAACAACAACGACTGTCATAATATAGCCGTATATTGATCGTGTCAACCACTAAATAATGTGTGTAAAGAACAGAAAAAATGATGATTTATAAAAACAAACGAAAAGAGAGGAGGAAACTAAAAAGTTCTCACTCACATTACTCTACTTCATACGATTTAATTTAGAGATTTCATCACGAAACTTTAAAATAACATTTAAAACAGAATTCTATTCTCACAAAATTTTTTTTTAATGCAAAAAATAAACTTTGGCATCGCATTACCACCACCACCGCCGCCATAACAATTAATTGTCTTCCTTACCCTTAATAAATGCCATTTGCAATTGCTGTTTCAGCAAACTCGTTGCTGCTGCTTCTTCTTCCTCCTTGCATTGTTGCTTGTTGAACATTTCCTGGGCATTCTCATAGTCATCGAAAGGCTCTTCTTTAATTTCAATTTCCATTTGCAATTCTTTGTTTTTTTTGTTTTTAATTATTTAATTACTTCTTATTAAATTAATTTGTTCACTTCGTTAAATCCATGCGCAAAACACTCACGAAAACAAAATTAACTGTAATTTTTTGTTCTTCTTTATATATTATTTTTCTAGTAGTAAATTTTTTATTCGAGGCAAAAATTTACTGTTAAGCAAAAATACCAGCACTACTCAAAACAACGAACGCAACACAATGAAATGATCGTTTGTGTCGTTAAAGAGAAATGTCAGAAAAGTATTTATTCAAATGATAATAAGTGTAATATGGTTGGTGTGCTCGTGTGCATTGGTATGTGTGAGCAAAAGAAGAGGGAATTTGGACAAAAATGGACGCGCTTATAACAGGGTTGCTATCGGAATAGCGTAATTTTATAATAACTGACAACAACGGTAAAATGTCGATAATACTGTGAACTGCATTATCGGCACATAAATGTATAATATTTAAAAAAGTTTTATTTATTAATTACAAACTTTTTATTAACACAACATTTTAATTCTATATGTATATTGAAATTATGATATAAATATAAAAACTCTTCCCTAGTCATTAGTCATACGAGCAAATTTTCTTTTTTAGTTTCTTTAAAAATTGCATTGTCGTTTAGACACGCAAATAATGCAAAATAACGCAAATAATTCCTCACACTCATTTTCTTATTTGACCATTGTTCATGAAAATATAAAAATATAATTAAAGGAAAAAACGTAATTATAAAAGAAACGGTTAAAAATATGCCAATCGACATTCATAAAACGTGGTAGATGTGTTAAAAAAAAATAAGAACCTATACAACATTTTAATTTTATCAATTAAAATCGTACAAAAAACTAGATTTGTTTTATTTAAGTTCTTGGCGTGGTTTTATATTTATCGGGAACGGTGTTGAGAGTCTCTCTCTCTTGAGAGAGTAATTAGAGCTGCGCTATTTTTAATTTTGTAACAAGCATACTTTTTGTTCACAAAAGGTACGAATTGACATAAACGTACAAAAACAAAAATTTTTTTTTTATTTTTCGTGAATACATTTACGCTTAAATTATAACATATATTATTTATGCAAATAACTGGTATAAATATTGGCCAATATTTCTCGATAATTATGATTTATTATCATTTCAAGTAGAATTGTAGGTACCTTTTCGTCCTTTTTTTCCTACCTATTGTAATGTTTTCCAACACAATTCACAATTTACCACTGAGAGAGAGAAACTCTCAACACCGATCCCGATAAATATAAAACCACGCTTGGAAGGATATTTAATTAATTTTTATTCAAAACAATTCAGAAATTAAAATGTCAAAAAAGGTATATAAATTTAGTAATTTATTTATTTTTGTGGCAAATAGCAAATGATATTTATTTTAATAAAAAATAATAGAAAACTTGTTTTACATTTAATACAATTTTGAATGGTTTTAGACATATTGGCAAATTGGATCTCGAACTACATATTTCTGAGATATATGTCTTGCTTCATTTTATTCTTCGGCAAAATTTCAGTTGTGTCAGACACAACTTCTATGTCATTTGTTGTGCAGCTCGTACAAAATGACGAATTCTTTTTATGCAACGTAGTTTGCAGTAATATAGTTGACTGAAAAGCATAGTCAATACATACTCGTCCAGAGCTCAACTTGATATTAAAAATCCATTAAAAGGGTAGTTGGAATCTCAGAGTATATAGTAACCTAAGAATTAAGATATGAGTATGTAATATAGTAAAAAAAATGGTACCTCCAGCTGTCATGACATAAACCGGGATAACCAACAAAAATTTTAATGAACTTATTCTGCTCATTGCATATTCCCTGTAAGTTTATAGTCACTTTGGCTTTCCTATCTATGTAATCAAACTTTCCAGAGCTTGGTGAGTCAATAACAATATGTGTACCATCAGTACAATCTGCGGAAATGAAGGTAAGAATATATTTGGAACAAATTAAAAGTCATTTAATGATTTCAGGGCTAAGCGAACTTAAAAATAGAGATATCCTGTTTATTACAATACTGTGGTGTTTATTCTTTCCAGTATTAAAATACAATATATACTGCAACGATGCGTTCTTTTTTTAATATGTCGTCTATAAGCACTTCATAATTATCGTTGCTATGACCCATGATACAATAACAAGAGGTAGATTAATGGTACCTGCTGATTACAATTTTTTCTTTTCTGTGTCCCTATTCTGTCAAAACAATTACTCGATTTGTAAATGTATTTGCAATGTCTTAAAAGATATAAACAAAATTAAAATATTTTAAAATTGAGTCATGGCATAATTACAGAAGGTAGTTTCATTCAAGGTGTATTTAATAAGTCTGTTTTTCCACAGGCAGATTTTTATTTGGCAAATTTTTGTTTTCTCTTTTAAAATTTTCGCTTGCTTTTCCATTAGCAAATTTTTCTTTGCCAAATTTGCGAATCAAAATACAAAAGAATAAAAATAAAAGTCAAAAGTGTTTGCATTTTAAAGATTTTTTTTAGTATTTCATTTATTTTTTATATATTTTATTATATAAATTGCAAAAATTAAAAATTAAATTTCACTTGCACAAATTAAAGCAACAGGTTTGTAAACAAAATCCGACTGTGTGTCAGTAAAGCGAATAGGTTCAAAAGGAAATGTCAACAAAATTGTTTTCAACGAACAGAGCAAAGCAGAATTTGCGTGTACGACAAATTCTGAACAGGCAAATTTTTGTTTTTCTTCCTCGCACCTCTCTCGCCTATTTGCCAAATAAAAATTTGCCTGTTGAAAAGCAGACTAAACAGGCTGAAATGATTTTGTCACTTTCAGATAATTTTCATTTAATGGTCTGTTCCCGTACTGCAAGAATCTACTCGATTTTACTATTTTCTTCGATATCATAAATAAAAATTCGTTATCGTAGTAAAAAAATAATTTAAAAATAATAAAAATATATTCCAAGGCCACAAAAGAATTCGTTACATTTTTTAAAATCTTTAAATTGCAACGTAACTTTCCGTCGTCCACTTTGACTTCTTCTTTATCGGGAATTTTGTCTTATACCATCCCATTCGTAACAGGTGGAACGTTTTTGAATGTTTCTGTAGTCGGTTACCGGTTTAGGTCTTGTACCGTTAGTTTTAGTTTTTGTGCTTGTTTTGTTTGGATAGAATTTCTTTGAAATTATTTAAGAAAAAAGCTCGTAAATGTTGTGAATCTTTTCAAATTAACTGAAAATTCGTGAATTTCGTCGCAAAAAAACGAAAATCTACAATATGGATTCGAATGTAGAAGATTTTAAAATGACAACTAACAACCTTAACAAAAACGACAACAACAATAACAACAATTTTTGCGATCAACATTTAGATAGTGATTTTGCACTACTTGCTGAAATTTGTCCTGACAAAAGTTACGATTTCGTTAATCTCGACAACCAAGTAGAATATATTCTGCAACAAGTCACAGATAGCTTTTTCCGTGAATGTTTTTGTTTCGACAAAGTACTGGTTCGTTGTTTGTTAATGGATCTACATCGTCGTACCTATTATCCCTATAACGATCCGTATGATGACGGGCAAAATTGTTTATCCTTTGATATGAGTGTGCTGGCCACACTCAGCTATTTGTCGAAGGGAAATTTCAATATGTTGGATCAATTGCGGGAATTTGATGGTTATAGTCGTGAAATAATTCGACGTTCCATCCAGAAGACATGTGAAATTATTGTTAATTTTTTAACACCGGATTATATTAGGTATTTTTTATTGTTTATATAGATAATTGATTTATATTTTTAAATTATTAAATTTATTTTATTTTTAAGATTTCCATGCTCAATGGACGACCAACATACAAACAAAGTAGAATTTTTGGAAAAATTTGGTGTACCCGGTGTTGTCGGAGTTTTGGATTGTTATAACATACAATTGTTAAATGTTCCCGAAAAGGAATTGCATATGTACATAAATCGTAAAGTACTATGTCCAACGCTGGCCGTGCAAGTGGTATGGAAAAGTAGAACTTGATAAAAAATTATAGTTTAGGGATTAAGTATTGTTTAAGTTCTGATCGCGGATAGTTTTGAAAGGTTTACTAGAGGTACTTCTAGGGGACGTGATTATAAATAACAATATATTTTATACCTACACTTTGATACGCCAAAAATGTACCTTATCCAAATGTTGGATTTATACTCTATGTTTCTTAAGGCCGAATCCGTTTCTGACAAATTGAAGTCCATTTGCAAATGTCCGTCTTTCTACCTGACCGGCTGGTGCACATTTAAAAATTATTACAAACCTAGATCAACTTCCAAGATGGAGAATATCTTCTGGTACCTCCCCCCAAAAATGGTCAAAATTTTGGTGAACATTTATTTTATAATATCACGTTTCAACTAAACATTGAACAACCTAAAGATGTGACTTATATGTCCACTACTTCTATTACCTTCTCCACAAAGAGTCAACATTTTGAAAACTTGTATATCTTATATGACCGAATATCCGATTTCATTGAAACTTTGCACATCATTATATGTTTACCTTATCTAGGTTATGTCATATGTCTTCCCCACAGTCTCAAGATTATTTAATTTTTTTTAATCAAATATCAAGCGAATTGAACATCTATTTTGAGTTTTACCAAACCTAGATCATGTCCGATGATGCGAACCATCGTTAAACTCTCTTTGGTATATCCCAATAAACACATTAAACACGACATTAAGTTCGGTCGGACCGAACTTTTTATACCCTTCACCGTGAGGTTGAGATTCAAAATATCTAAACTTATGTAGGAAAAGGCTCATTGAATAGGACTGTGATAGGAACCGTTATATTGGGTTATACCAAAACGGGGATCGATATTTTCGGTAGTGAGATTTGACACACCATTCGGTTGAAAAACATGTCCAAAATACCGAATATTGGGGGGAACCAGTATATGGGGACTACCCTGAAACTTGGGTCAATATTAATAATTTTTGGTACAGAGATGTGCAATACAATGAGAACCAAAATACCAAATTACAGCCAAGTTGGCTTAAAAACGTGCCCAAAAACTCGAAAAAATCCGAATATTGGGTGTCAGCTATAATGCAAAAAGGCGTAACTAATAAAAAATTGAAAATTGACAAAGTTTTACACGTCTGGAGCTTCTATTAACAAAAAACAAAAAGACGTAACCACAAGTGGGTTTATTTGATAAATGCAAAAAGGCGTAACTAACAACAAAATTCAAATTTTTACTCAATTGTTATGACTGCCATTAAAATAATATCTAAATTTGTTAAAAAAAATTTTAGTATATTATTCGTCATATGCAATATCACCCTGCCGGGCATACTTTTTTTGACATGTTTACATTTTTCATTTAAAACAGTTTTTTACTTCTCCTACACAATTATGCTTTTATTAGTTAGGCCTTTTTGCATTTTAGCTAACGATATATATGAACTACCCTGAAACGTGGGTCAGTATAAATAATTTTTGGTACTGAGATGTGTAAAAGTATGAGAACCCAAAATACCTAAATACATCCAATTCGGGTGGAAAACGTGTTCGAAAATTGGTATATACCGTTATGTGGGTGCTACATCAAAACGTGGACCGATATATCCCATTTGCAATGCCAAACATCCTAGGAGTACTAACAATGTTTGTGCAAAAATTCAGAGTTAAATCATGAAGGAATTGTGCAACCTCTATTGGTTTTAGCCATAAGTCAATGATAAAAAGATTTGTTAGACTGAATGGACAGTTGGTAGGTGATGTGTTTCGTGGCGACATTACTGCTAGGAAGGACATCTCTTTAGGAGGCATCTCTCAACGACGCGTACTCGATATGAATTAAAAATATTAGAAGTAAGGTCACTGTTGTACTCTGGTGTATCTGCTGAAGGCCGTCATTAAGGAACTTTAATGATTCAAAATGTTATTATTTTCTATTTAAGATATGTGATCAAAACTACCGATTTCTTGATATAAATGCAAGATATTCTGGTCGTACACACTGTTCTCACATTTGGCGACGTAGTCACGTCAATGGTATTATGAAACACTCTCAAAAACGTAATCCGAAAACATGGTTAGTAGGTGAGTTTTTTAATTATATTAAAAGAACTTAGAATAAAAAATAATTTTTACATAATACTTTTAAACTAAAACAGCTGATCGCGGTTATCACTTGACCTCGGGTATTATTAATCCATATCGCAATTCTGCAGATTCGTTACAAAAAACCTTCAATATGGCCTTAAAGGAAATACAAAATGTTAATTTAAAAGCGTTTTCTATACTTAAAGCACGATTTAGGTAAGAATAAATTTTCAGCATAACTTTTTTATATAGTACTTATATTTCCAAAACATTATCATATTTTAGATGTTTAAATAATACATTACCATTTGATCATTACAATGCCTGTAATTTGATTACCACATGTGCCACATTACATAATTATTTATTGGCAAAATTAAATACCCTAGAGGATGATATTTCGTATCAATTACCGAAAGTACAGAGTTTACCGAATGCCCATAACGAAGATACATTCTCTGTGACTGCAGTGAAGAATCGTGAATTTATAAAAGAATTCATGTATAATAATTCTATGCAAGTTTTATATCAAATGCGTAAAAATTCCAATATAAGTTTTGTCAATGGTAATGAGAATATCGAAGGCATGAATTGAATTGAATTCGATGAATGTTTGTTTGTGAAGTTTTTACATCACTTTATATTTTTTTGTCAGTATTTTAATATTTAATTTTATGTCAACATGTTTCATGTTATTTATTTCGTAGATTTAAATTATTTGTTTTTCTATTACATTTCTTTGTAACTTGTGAATTTTTTCTGTTTATTTTATAAAAGTGAAATGTTTTATGTTTTCATGTCGAAAGTAATCGATTACTTAAAAAAATAAAATTTAAATACAACACTGCTGTATAAAAATCATAAACCCTAATATACTGTTTGACAACTTTCAGTAGTTAGAGAGAGAGAGAGGGAGAGAAAATGAGTGTGTGACAGACATTAGCAAAAACAAACAAACAAAATCATAGCAAAAGAAAGAAAATTGAAACATTTTACCAAATATTTTTCTCAAATAGAAATATATTTAAAGTTTGTACAAAAATTCGAAAAAATGTCTTCAACAAATGATTCTCAACAATATGAATACATTAAACGTGAAGATGAATTTATCAAACGCGAAGATGAAGAAATGTCTGCAGGTAAGTGAACACCACACAATTGCTGAAACCCACACGCACAACAAAATAATTTTGTTCCTTCTCCAGATGAGGATTCAGATAATCGACAAAATCCCAATAATTATATGCTACGAGAACAGGATCGCTTCCTGCCCATATGTAATATAATAAAAATTATGAAAATCCCTGTACCAGAAAACGGTAAAATTGCCAAAGATGCCCGTGAGTGTATACAAGAATGTGTTTCGGAGTTTATTTCATTCATTACGTCGGAGGCTATCGAACGTAGTATGTCGGAGAATCGTAAGACCGTAAATGGTGACGATTTATTGTATGCCTTTGCAACATTGGGCTTCGATAATTATGTAGAACCTTTGGGTGTATATCTACATAAATTTCGAGAGGTAAGTGTAAAATGACGGAACGCCTCTTCGCTGTAATGATGTAAAATACCCAAATGAGAACATTTGAAGTTTAAGGAGCTGTTGTGGATTATTTTCAACAGTTTTTGGGATGGCTGTTGATTTGAGATTTTTACAAACGTTTTGGAATATATACAGGCAAAGAAAAACATTTTTAGGGATTTTTCCTAGGGTCACACTCCTACAATGACTACGCGACAGAATCTCCTTATAAATGAGGCACGGTCGGGGATAGTCATTACATTTTTTCGATTTCTTGCGGAGATATGGGCCTTGTTTATAGCCGTTCACTCAGAGACATTTGTCCATTGTGCTACGCCTTGATACCTTAAAAGAGAGGAGTGTAAGAGAGGAAAGATAGTTTAGAGTGTAGAAAGCTGTTTATTTTATCCATATCAAAATCTTAACAAACCTTAGGATCTGTTTGGGGTCTATTCCGGAGAAGAATACAAGATTATCAATTTCGTATTTTCGAATTGTCTGTGCCTTCTGCCACTTACCGTTGGACACCTAAAAAGTATATGTTCAGTTGTTTCCAGCTCTTCCTCACATAGACGGCATGGTGGAAATTAGAGAGATTCAAGATTGCATTCAAGGCTGCCTTATCTCTCCGGTAGTCGGGATCGACGCCGATCGCTGTACAGTACTCATTTTAGCCAGCAGTGACTTCTTTCCACCATACCGTTACATACAGCCAGTGTATAATCTCTGGTTTTAGTCCCCAACTCTTGCCTATAAAGTTCTTGCGCGAATGGAGTGTTATTAGATCTTTCTTAGCGCGTTCCTCAACATTCCTTATCCACGTTAGTTTGCGGTCAAGGACTGTATCAAGGTATTTTTCTTCTAAAGAAAGATTACCATTCCTATCGTCATGGTGTTTACGCCAAGACCATTGTCGTGTGGCCAGTTGAACAGAGTTAACAAGCACCCAGCATGACGTCAGAAATAGTCGGCAAAAACTTCCCACCGACTAGCAAGAATTCATCATCAGGTGGTCGAATTTCAGCAGTATCTCATTTATCACCAAAACCACAGTAGAGGCTATGGTGTGCCTCCGTTGACAGATTTCCTCACGGAACACTCTCCCATGGACGAATTGATAATTCTGCTTTCCAGCAGTATATCAATCAAATCTGGAGATCTCCATATTCTTCTTGATGTGTCCGACTACCTCATGTAAAGCAGTATCTACTGATTTGTCTTTGATGTAGGCTTGATAATATTTCTAATACAGAGTCTAGTAACCTTTCTAAAGTCTTAAGTAGAAAGGAAGAAACTCTAATTGATCTATAATCCTTAGGTAGCCTATGACTCGGCTCCCCGGGGTTCGGGAAGCCGTTACCTCTTTCCATAGATTCGACATGTACGAAAAAGCAGACAAGCTCTAAAAATACTCTGCAGAGTGACCAATACTCGTTCATCGGCAACATGGACGGTATAATGCCACATGAGCCTGGGGATTTGGAGAGTTGAAAGCTATTTATTGCCCATACAAGGTTGGGGTAGCTTATAGTTTTCTCTATCAACTCCCCTATTCCTTGGTTCGAACCGTATGCCGATGTGCACACCGCAACTTGTCGTTATGATCCATACAACCAGGGAAGTGGGTTGATGATAGAAGATTAAAGATCCCTCTGCTGGAGTTTGTCCACCTCCCGTCGCTTCGCTTAATACTACCTATAGATTTCGGATCTTTAGATATTACTCAGCGAAATCTGGCCGCTTCGTTTAGCCTTCTTGATTTCACTACGACTTTCCAGTTCGTAGTCCCAGAGTCGACCACATTTCTGAGAATCATGTCAATGACTTCGGATATCACTCTATTTACGAACGTTGCTGTGTTGCCCCTATTACATATCCTAAGATTATATCTAAGTATAAAATCAAATATGGACTCACCACTTGGATTGGTGTCACTGCTACCCCAGAGGAAGTGATGGGCATTGGCATCACATCCAATGATTAAGTCACCAATGCTGGTCATAGCCTCCGACAGGTTACATATATCCGGTCCAGGTGGGTCAGAAGAATCATACAGTTGATTTATATGCCCTTAAATCATTCACAGGCACCAATTAGATCGCAAACAAAGAAGTCGTGCTGAAACGTACGATTCGGCTTGTCAGAATGAAATCCTGAAAAATTTAACTGGTGTTATGAGAAGCTACTGACAGGAGAGATTAGTTCTTCCCCATCTTCCATATTCCCCTACATGATAATAATTCAGGCAGTTGGAGGTGAGAGCCCCAAGTCTGCAGTAATCAGTTATGATTCCTACAGTAAGTTTAAGGGAAGTACCCTAGTGATAAGAGGTGAGGTAGATTTACGTCGTGAAAACTCCGGATAGATGGTTTTTCTGGTTCTGCATCTAGTTTTCGTAAACTGTATAATGGCGATCGAGCGAATGTGGCCCCTTCAAGCAAGTTCATCAGTAATCTATTAACTTTAATTTCGCTGTGTCCTGGAACCCATAAGAGATTAACGACTCGCCATAGGGGAAAGGGTGGCACTTTGCTTTCAAGCCTCAACATTTTTATATACAGCCCTATTCTGGATGTCAATTCCATGTGGATTTACTCGCTCTTCCTCTTCGACTTATTCTGAACAACATTTTCCTGTGAATTTTTCACATTCTCGCTTTCGCCTTATTCTGAATGAAGTTCGAAAGCAAAAAATCCGCTTTGGGGAAAAATTAGGTATTCTGGATTACAGGGAGTAGGAGAATGAACATTTTTTTATTTTTCAACCACTATTTTCGAAAACTCGAATCCGCATCTCGCATTTTTTGCGTCTCCCTATACATTCAGAATAAGGCGAGAATGTGAAAGCGAAAATTTTGTACATGCGAGATATCTCCCTAGCGAATATCCAGAATAAGGCTGATAATTTTTAACTACACTGAATATCATAAGTTCAACTTAAATATTTGTTTCTTTTTTAAAGAACGAAGTCAGTTCATTTTCCTTTAGCTTCTGGACGCATTTGATGGCTTCAAACTTTAGCTTTACTATTATGTACATGTTTATTAAATTGTATATCCATTTTTTACTCAGTATTCTACTCGTTTTCAGCATATTCAGTTCTCTTCGCATTATGGCCTGACATTGGATCTTTTGTTTCTGTATTGAAAATAGTCGTTACGTTTTAAATCTCTTTGATCGCAATCTCTTTTTAGTCCGCTTCTCGGCATATCTGTTTCATATTCTAGCTGAAAGTCCATGATTGTATTTGATATTTTAATTTTTCGATGCCCAATTTCTTCCATAGGACAGCAAATTACATTTCTCTGAAGAACGCAATATGAGATGTATCATAAGCATCTTCTCTATTGACAAATTTTAAGGTATGAGAAGCAAAACGTCTGCAGCACACATTTACATTCTTAAAGTTATTCAGGTCGTCTAATTTGGCATTACATTGGATTATATCATAATACATAATTACAATACATAACATTAGTGTGAAAACTTCTACAATATTAAATTCACTAACATTAATTAAAATGCATCCTTTTTTCAGGCAACAAAGTGTGATCGTAATCTACTAAGTGAAAATACAATGATGCAAGATGATTCTTCCAGTGATATTCGTAAGACCTGAAAATAAAACAAAAAACCTGTATAAAAAACATCACAGTTTATGTCAATTTAATTTCCTTTATAAGTTTACATTTTACATCAAAATCTACACTAGATTATATGTATAATTTTTGCTTCGTTTTAAGACAAACGAATAATTTCCTTTTTATGATTTTATTTAGACTGTAAAATACTTTAAGGTCGGCATACATTTATCACTCTTCATTTCTAATTTTCCAATCACTATATAAGCTATAATTTTAAGAATATCCACACAACAACAACAATTTTGTTAACATTTCATTTCGTACAAATATTTTTGTATAAGTTTTATCGATTCGATTTAAAATATAAAAACAAAAACCAAACATTATAACAAAAAATAAAAAAATCACTAGAATAGCCTAAAAAATTGTTGTTTGAAATAACCTTTATTTCTATTAGGCTATAGTGGTGCTTCGAATGATAACAATCTTAATATAAGTATGAAACAACACAACGCCACAGAGAACACTGTGCAAATCGGCAATGCGGAAATTTTGGATAAAAGTGGTATGGTGGTAGATAATGGTGTCAATTCTTCACCAGGCACATCAACTAATACAACAGACAATGATTCGACCCTTGGTGACAATTTACGTAACTTTCGTAAACTAACCAATTCTTCAAATATGACTGACGACGATCATCAACAACAAAATCATTCAACATCATCATTTGTTGCTCAAAATCTGACATCATCAAGTGATTTAATCTCTTCTAATGGCCCAACGATGTTAATATTCAATACTGATGGTGCTTTAATGCAACAAAGAATTCCATCACAGCAACAATTGCAACATTTTCAAACTGACCAAGTTCAAGTAACTACCAATAGCAACAACAACGCATTCCAAGTCAACAATTGGCCACAACAACCACAAGATAATAAGAATACTAATAATGATTTTTGTACAGATTTTCTTTTTTAAAATTCGTATTGTGATAATAAAATATTGAATATATAATTATTTATTTTTGTGCGTTTCATTTCAAAACTGGTTTTTGTCATATCTATCACAACAATCATCTATATCATATATATGTAGGGTTGGTGTACAATTATAAAATCTGAGTTGAACGTAATTGTAAAAAAACTCAGATTCAACAACAATCCAAAAATTATTTTTTGGAAAATCGTGATTACGCATTAAAACTAGAAGAAAAATTCTAAAAACACTCAAAATCGAGCTTCAAAATGTCAGCATCGTTTAAAGGTAGATGCAGATAAATATTCGAAAAAAGGTTATCACGTACCTCGCGAAATGAGTGACTTAGTCACAAATCGGAGAAAAACATAAGAAACATAGGTTGCCTTACCCTGTTTTTACACATTTTTTACATTAACGTAGACACAGCTTTCGCGAAAACAAACGTTGGAGCTTAATATCACGAAAAGTTTGCAACGACAGATCAAGAAATCCAAAACTTTTTAATTCATGTACTTTAATAATTCCGGAGTTGTAAAGGGGTGAACCTCTTGGCACCTCGGACTCTGTTCGATCATAAAAACAAGCGTGAATTCACGCACATCACATAGAACGCTACTTGCGGACATAAATATAAATAAATATAATTTGAGAAAGTGAATCCTAAGCCAAAAAAATCAATTTCATCCGTCATCAACATTGGCAGTCGACAGTGTTCGTTGATGATGTGGGCTCTTCCAAGGTGGTAACTGCTGGTTGTACGCCTACTTTAGCCGACAAGCCGATTATTCTGACGTTCCAAAGAATCGCTGTCGGCTTCAGATCCTAAAAGTTTTAAACAGAATAGAGAGGCGTATTAAATTTAAATGAGATGTTACTTTATGTTGGAATGGGAGACAATAGTTTGAGTTCTACTGGTTGGAAAGCAAAGCAGATTGTTAGCGGTAGAAATGGATAGAAGAAAAACTAAATTTACTTGTACCATAGGAAATAATCAAAGTTGTGCAGGATGCAACATTAGACACGGCATTAATTAGAAAAACTACCAGAATGGATATTATAAGGAATGTCGTGGAAACGTACTGGTCAAATGGTAACTGTCGTATAATCCAATAAGGAAAAAAACCAATACCTCGATTTCGGGGAATGTCAATCCTAGCCAAGATAACTGGATGGTTGTCATACTACCTACGTTTCGAAGATAGAGGAAGTCCTAGCCATGTCAGCGTATTTCAGGTTTTCGGACCAACTGTGGAATTTGAAAACTACAACTTCGAGGTAGTCAAAAATTTTATATACCTCGGTACCGCCTACAACTAACTCTGCAAGATGGATCTGAAACATGAGTACGTGCGCAAACATATGAGGCAACATTTGGTGTGTTTGAGAGAAAAAATCTATCTATGGACCGATCTGCGTTGGCGGTGAATATCGCCGTCGAACGAATCATGAGTTGTACGATCTATTCTCGGACATCGACATAATCGGACGTATCGAGCTGCAACGACTACGGTGGCTAGGTCATGTTGTGAGAATGGATGAGGACGCCCAGCTCAAAAGGCATATAAAATCGAGCCTACTAATGGTTTACGTAGAAGGGGAATACCACGAATTCGATGGAAATATCAAGAGGAAGACATTTCGGAATACGGCCTTTCAAAATGTAGGAAGAACTGCGCAAAAGATCTACGCGCCTGGAAATCTTGTTTAAGCTCGGCTAACGGAGCAAATGCTCTTTCACAAGCCATCTGTGTAAGTAAACGAAGATGAATGAATGCTTGTCATATGAAGACATACCCTCAGACGTCGTCAAGAAGGTTCACCTTCAGCGTATTTCAGATTCTAGTCATGAATAAATTAAACCCATCGCAACATATGTAGATGGCAGGATGACCGTATTTGTGGATTATAAATCCAAAAGCTACATTTGACTAGTATTGCCTTTGTCTTTATTGGTTTCATGGATATTATCAGAGGGGAAAACAAGCAGGCGAGCTTGCCCATGTTGGCTTACAGTCAACTCCTACCAATTGGTCCGATATAATTGTACTCTCTTACCAAACTCGAAATAAAAACACAACTGTTAGAATCAGCATTTGGATCTACCGTCGGAAAGAGCTGGCCCAATCACATTAGCCAATACAGAAAAATAAGATTCAAATTTTTGTTTACCGATTTAGAGCCGTGACGCATAATGAGTTCATGCAACAAAAAATGGCGATTTTTATTAAAATTACTACACAAGTTACTAAATGCCTTTCTGTGTACACTCCAGAATGGTAGTTGAAATATATACCTACATCTTCAAAATTAAATAATAGGAAATGATTTTTTTTTTGTATTTTTATTTATTTATTTTTTCTCATATTACATTTTGATGCAGTGATGTGATATATATGTATATATTTAATGCTTTATTTGCAATTATTTATATTTTTATAATTTCATTATATATATATTAAATTTTATTTCTTAATAGCTAATAACATTGATTTCTTTATATTTATTTTATGAATATATATGTGTATGATGTACTATCTTTATATATTTTTGTTTGTATGACTATATTTATGTAGTAGTTGTGTGTGTGTATAATCTTAATTATATTACTAAAGATTAAATTTTATATATTTGATATAAAGGAAGTATGATATATGTATATTTATTTTCTTAAATATTGCAGTTTCCATTTGGGGAATACATACAAATATTTGGAAGTTAAAAAATAAGTCGAATGTTGTTTTACGTTGTTTTCTTCTTTTTATAAAAGCAGTATATACATGCATATTTTTTAATAAAAAATAATCATATATTTTTTAAGGAACTTATAACATTTTTTTTTAATTACAACATAAAAAATATGATAAAAACATTTTGTAAAAGCTTACTTTACTTGGGGATATTTATGTTAACGGAAAACTCAGTTCTCATTTTTTTTTAATTTCTTGTTGTTGTTTTTGTCTTGTAGTACTGGAAAACATTTTATACTTTATAAAATTTCTTCTTTAAGTAATAATTAAAAAATAATAATACATTTATATGTATTAAATAAAATGAATACATTTTTCTTTTCTTTTAATTTATATTTGTTTATCAGTAAAAAGTAATAAAAGTTAATTGATACAAATCAATTAACTTTTATTTTTGATTTATATGTTGATATTGTAATTTTTCTTCCATCATATTGTTGTTAACTTAATTTTATTTGAATATGAGTTTCTTTGTTATTGTATTGTATATAAGTAGAATATGTACATAAGTCATATTGTAAAGCTTTAGCTTTTTTTACTTATTTTATTAAAGTAATATATTTATAGTTTTATTGTGCATTTTTTCTTAGTATGCGTTCTAGAGTGAAATTTGTATTTCTTATTTTTATTTATTTTTTTTACTTTTATAAATTTAAGAGATGTGTTTTTTTTTGTGTGTAATATACAGCATATTCATGTATGTGTGTGTATGAATATATGTTATATCTTATATTTTGCAATAATAAAATTGTAATAATTAAAATTGTTTTTTTTTATTTTATGAATGTTGTTATATATAGTATTAAAATATTTTAGATTTACAGTAACAATTATAAATATTTTGGGTATTAGGAAATGTTAATTCAAATTCATCCTTTTTGGAAGTGGCAATTCACATTTCCTGAAATTTTTTATTATTGGCATGAATGTGGTTTAAAACTCCATCCAATAATCAATGTTTTAGCAGTAGTATGGTAGGCAAAGATTCCTTAATTTAAAATTATTTTTATTGCATCAATTTGAATCCCTTTGCGTTTTTTTCGTTTAATTTAGCTCTATTATTTAACTTTATTGGTCTGTTCTAGAACCTGCAAGAATATACGATTTTTTACTACGATAACAATTTTTCCCTTTATGATATCAAAGAAAACAGTACAAATTAGTAGATTCTTGCAGTACCGCAACATACCATATGTAAATAAAACTGTACCACGATTTTGTGGGAGTGAAAAAGGTTCGGCTTCAGTCATTGTTTTTTTTCCTGAACATGTCATTATCGGAGGGGAAAAAGTAGCAAATGGGTCTGTTGATATCACACCGTACGTCGATCTCTTTCTTCTCTCTTGTCAAATTCGAGTTGAAAAAATCCTTATTAGAATCTTCAATGGAATGATATTAATATTACTGATATACATGGGTTCTATGTGCAATTCAAAGTATTGTAAACATAAATTCCAGTGACTATCCAATCATGCCTAATCTTAACCTTCTACAAAGCTAGAGCATTTTTAAACGAAAAGATATCATTCTTTTGTATAAAGAAAATACATAGAAATATATATGAAATGATAGATGAATAGAAAAGAGGTTTTGTTCCATCCTACCGGATATTAGACCCAATTTTTCATTGCACTTCTACTTTTTTATTTGGTTTAATTTTCTTTTTTCTTGCCTGAAATTTCCTTTTATGTATTTGTAACATGATTTTTAAATATACGAAGATTAAGTTAGACAATGAAAATGGCTTTCTTTGTATTGAGAGCAAATAAATTGATGTTGAAACTTCACAAATAATTTTTACTGGATATTAAAAACGTCTTTAATGTTTACCTTATTCATTATCATTCTTACGGGATGTCGTAGCTGTGTTCTGAACTAATTCTTGTCATTTACAATACAATACAAGTAGTCATTTTTTTGCACTAATCATCATCATTTCATCTTTACAAATCTATCACCGATTTCCATTGAAATTGCTTCTCATACCTAATCATTTTATTCTTCATTATCATTCATCCTGGCCATAGCATTCTTCAAAATCTTCAAAATAACTACTATCGTGATCTTCAAGATCATTGGGTGATATTAAATGACGGGCCAATGAACCCTGGCTACTACTGCCACGACTATTTTCAGCAGCACCAACTGCCCCCATTAATAGACCAGGCATAAAATCAGGCGCATTGTTACCTCCTTCCTCGTGTTGCTGCTGATGATCTCGTTGTTCAAAATCATTACGATTTTGTATGGGGTCATTGTGACCCAAGAACAATGTCGGTATAGCCTCGGTTTTAAGTACATAATTAACATCAAAACATGACGGCGCGAAATGACGACGACATATTCGATAATGTTCAACACGATATTGATTAAAGTCCAGCTTTAAATTAACAAACCATTTTTGACATAAATCCAGCCGGAGGGGAAATTTATAGAGCGGCATTAGTGGTTGTATACAACCATAAACTAAACACTGTTCACTTGGTGGATCATTGTGATGAATGAAGGAGTTATCGGGTAAATTTAAATTTAACGTCGGCACCGACCAACTGTGTAGCTTGAGATCGCCATCACTAAAACAAATTGCCTCAAAATGTTCACTACAAATGGCATATTGATTTTCTTTATAGTTGCGTGGATCAATTTTCAAATTGAAACACCATTTAATGAAAATTTCCGAATCACTGGGAAAGTCGGTGTAAAGTTTTATGCCACGACTTTCAGAGGTGTTTGTACATTTGGCCACACAACACAGGTAAATATGAGATTTTACTTCGGAAATTATTAAGGGAGGGAAATGTTGTTTTTGTTCCTCCACTTGACTGTTTTGTGTTTCCTCCTCATCCACCTCCTGTTGTTGTTGTTGTTCTTGATAACAATTATCATAATTTTGTTGTTCTGTCTCATCAATTTCAATTATTTCTTCCTTAATCGTTTGTGATGAGAACATTAGCATCTCTTGTGATTGTTGTTGTTGCTGATGAGTTTCCTCCAAACCATATTGATCTTCAATTAATTCTTGTTTTATGGCAATATTATTGGTCTCTTTGGCGGTTTCAAAACAATAATCATGATCATTCCAACCATATGTAGTATTTTCATCTAAATTTTGCTGTTGTTCATCCTCCACATTCTCATAATCGAGCAATTCTTCTTTAATAACAATATTCATATTGCTGCTGGCCGCTAGTTCCTCATCATTTTCGTTAGTCAATCCCAATTTCAATGTGGGTATGGCATCATCACTTAATCTCTTTTGTTTTATCAGATATTTATAACGAAAGTGAAGACCACAAATTTTAGTTTCATCAGCTTGGAAATTTTCACATTTAACATTATTCAGCCACTTGCTAAGCCTTTCGGGATCTGAGGGAAATTTAAAAAGCCTAGTTCTGATCATGGGTTGTAGGCCATTACTATTTACACATGTGGCCACACAACACTGGCCCGTATATGCACACTCATCTTCGGCATTATTTTCAAAAATCTTTTTATTGTGTGGCAGATTGAGGGTTGGTATTGCCCAGGAATATATTGAACGGGCATTATAGCAATAACTTTCAAAATGACGACTACAAACTTTGTAATAATGAATTTTGGATTTATCCAATTTATCATAATCCATGTCAAAATTATGACACCATTTTCGGGCCAATTGTTGGGGACTCGTAGGGAAATGATGTAATCTAATGTCGGCATTTGTTTGGCCAGAGAAAAGGTCGGAGTTGCAGCCGGGCACCATACAACGTTTGAAAACAAATTTACATTTTGAAGATATCTCCTTGTAGGCTTTATTTAATATCTCCAATTCCTTTTGATATTCTGGCTTGGGATTGCTGCCAAGTTTCGTGATGTCCTGCTCAAATTGTTTATAAAGCCTATAGAAATGTTCATCACAAAAATGTATTGCTCCCCTTTGAGTTGATTCCAATTTACCCAGACTACTTAACCACATTACCTTTAAATTTGGAATTTCTGGACAATTATATATTTGTGCCTTGTTTTGTTTACATTCCGGATAGCTGCAATCATATTTTATGATTTTGGGAGTCTTTTTGGTAATTTCACTTATTTCAAAACCCAAAAATGCCTCCTTTTTAATCGAATGCAATTTGGGTAGTGATGCGGATATTGCCGTTTCATTTCGTTCCAATTCCATTTCGGGTGTAATAATTTCAAATAGAGGTTTATTTTCAGGTTCGGGCTTAACAGGCAAAAACTTTTTGGCAATTTTCCTCTTCTTGGTATTTTCCAATATTGCAGGTGGTGGTTTCTTTTGCTGTTGAGGAGCTCGTACCTTAATGAAATTCACCAAAGGCTTATCTTCATCATCTAAGAAATCAGTGTCATTTAAATTAGATTTTACAACACGTTTGGGTTTTGCCTGAACCCCCAGGCTATCAAGAGATTTCTTTGTGTTTTCAACATCGACATGTGGCGTTAGTTTCTCGTCCTTCTCTTTCTGCTCAACTGTGTCCATTAGTTTTTTAGTTTTTGTTACCACCTCCTTTGTTTCTTCTTTTTTCTTGGCGTTTGTTGGTTCTTCATTTTTCGTACTGCTCTTTAGAGTTTTCTTATTTTTCAATTTTATTTCAATTTCCTTTCCTTGTGTGAGAACTTTCCTTTTAACTTTATCAAGTTGTAAAGGATTCTTGAAAATACGATTAGTGTGACCCAAATTTAGGGTAGGCACAGCTGCCGCCCTCATGACACCAAATGCATTCAAACATTTTTGTTCAAAATGTCTCTCGCAAATTTTCAATTTCTTCGAACTAGCCACATCTCGTTGTTTGATTTTCAAATTGAAATACCATTTCTTTAGCAATATCTTATCCTTGGGGAATGTATACAAATGTGACCAGGGTCCCTTGCAATCGGAAACACAACATTTACGTCGTGAGTTCCTCTTTGGATTGCGAAACAATTCCGCCTGGGGACACTGGACACCCAATGTGGGTACTGAATCTCGTCGCAGGATTTTCAATTTTGCATCAAAACAATCATTTTCAAAATGTTTCACACATATACGCATACTTGGACGATATTGATTACGAGTTATTTTCAGGTTATTCAACCATTTAAGGAATACCGACATTCGCGATGGAAATCGAAACAAATGCAGATTTTCAGCTTTGTTTTGTAGCTCCTGACAGATGCAACAAACAAACATGTCGACTTTGTATTGAGGATTCTGATGCAGATCGGGCTTCGGCTTGTCGCCCAAGTTTAATGTGGGCACAGCCCAATTTTTAAGCTTCACAATTTGTCCCTCTTCATTTTGCGTTAGACAATAACTTTCGAAATGCAAGTAGCAAACCCTTAAATTCAAGGTACATTGCTGGGATCCCAAATTTAAATTATAAATCCATTTACGTATTTCCAATGATTTGGTGGGGAATTTAAAAAACGGCCCCACATCAGTGTTGCACGAAGAAACACAGCAATGTTTTAGATTTTCATGATGCGAGGGTAATGCCTCGGGTGGATTTACATACAGACTTACATTGTACGGCAATGCCAGGGTGGGCAAAGACCAACGATGTAATTTTTTCTCGCTGAAACAACGATTCTCAAAATGCAATGCACAAATGCGATATTTGGAACGATCCGAGGCGGCAAACTCCACCGAACTATTGTGTAACCATTTTTGTAACAATGACTCATCTTTGGGAAATTTAAATAATTGTATATTTAAGTTGAAACCGGTTTTACACTTCGGTACCGAACATCTGAAACACTGTAGCTCAGGGAGATTTCTCAAATTTTCATAAAGTTGTCGAAGTCGGGGTATTTCCGCACAATTTAATTCCTCATAATAGCATATGAAATGTACGCAACACATATATTCTACATCATCATTGTTTCCGACAAGACTCTTCAATACTTGTAGACATTTTTGCTTGAATTCTCCACCTCTGTCACCCTCTACTTTTTCTTTTTCTCCTCCTCCCACTCCTTCCTCTTCTACAGCTAATTTAAAACATTGATAATTTAACCAATAGCTACAATTTACAATACAACATTTTTGTATATCATTACTGTGGATATTTTCCAAATCATTATGTCCTAAATGTAATGTGGGCACCGAACCCATTAGCAATGTTTGTTGCTTATCTAAACACTTAACATCGAAATGATGACTACAGACTCTAAGATTTCGTAATTCTTTGCTTAAAAAATGCTCATCATAATTTAGCTTTAAATTAAATAACCACTTGTCAATGTCCTCTCTTTGTTTGGGAAATTTAAACATTTTCCGACAATCTTCAATGGATTCTCCTCCCCCCACCGACGATTCGTCATCATTATTTTCCTGATAATTACAATTTTGTACACAACATTTATGGACTTTTTCTTCATACAACTCATCGTCGTTTTGATAAAACCACGATTTGGCCTTCAAACATTGGGTGGGTATGGCATTTTCATGTAAAATACCCTGTTTGAGGCAGACTTTTTCAAAATGCCTTTGACATATCCGCGTGGATTCTATATCTATATCCTGGGGTAAATTTAAATTGTGTAACCACTTTTTCAATAATTCCTCGGATTTGGGAAGTTTGAATAGTTTCACTTTATCTACACTGCTCGATTTTTTACAACTTTCCACCACACATTTGCGACAGTCTTCTTCATTTTCCATTTTTATTAAAACTTTTTGATTATCTTCATCTTTTATGCCCAACTCCACGGAGGGTACGGCATTAAGGCGCAAAGTATTGGTGCTGCCCAGCTCAAAACTATCCGCTTTAAAATGCCGCTCACACAATTTGTAATGATTACTTAAGGCCAGCCTTAAGGGTATTTGTAAATTATTACTCCAAATGCGACGTAGTTCGGAATTTTTCGGAAAAGCAAACAAATGGTTGGGACTATCACGATTTGGACATGTCGTAATGCAGCAGACATCTTTTGGTTCGTGGCGCACCTTTCGCCTTAATTTGGCATCATTTTTGATAATGCGATCACTGTGGCCCAGATTTAAGGTAGGTACTGCCCCGGCTTTTAAATTCCTTTGCTTATAGAAGGCATATGTTTCAAAATGATGATTACATATCTTCAAATCGTCATGTTTACTGGAGCGACCCAATTTAAGATTTATGCACCATTTTCTACGCATATTACTGCCACGAGGTGGGAAACTGATTAGAAATGTTTTTGTATTGGGATCGTCTTGAGCAGCACAATGGGCCAAGCAACAATGGGGTTTATTACTCGCATCATCATCTGTCGTTTGAGGCGGTAGAGGTATTTTAAATACTTGAGGTTTTTCCACCTTCTCCTTCTCCTCGTCTGCTTCTTCTTCGTTTTTCTCTTCCACCTTTGGTGAAATAATAATATTTGTTGTTGCATCATCTTCCTCCTTATCATTTCCTTCTTCCTTGATTTCCTTTTTTATTTTTGTTGTTGTCTGCCTTTTTAAATGCGGCACCGCATTTTCTTTTAGTTGATCAGTTCCCTCTACAAAACATGTCTTGCTAAAATGTTGACGACACACTTTTAAGGGTCGCTGCGTTATTTCCTTCCTATTGATTTTCAATTTTCTAAACCACAATTGCCTCAGGTGTTTATCTTTGGGAAATGAATATCGTTTATATTTCTCGAGATTTTTACAATTGCTAACACAACATTTATGTTCGCGACGTGATATATTTTTAATAATTCCATCTGTATGACCCAAATTGATGGTTGGCAACATGCCACGTTTTATTTGTCGGTCTTCTTTGAATGCCCGCTTTTCAAAATGATAATTACATATTTTGAAATCATCATAATTTTCTAATTTCGGTGATAGTTTGAGATTTCGACACCATTTTCTTAGAGTGTTTGGAGTCGCTTGCGGAAAGTCAATTAGGAAGGTATCATTATTCAAATCTTCCTGGCGTCGACAATGTGTTAGAAAACAACATGGGAGGCCGTCCTTATTAAACTCTACTATTGGTGGCTTGTGAAAAGTCTTCGAATTCCCATCACCATCCTCTCCTGCAATTGACAATTTTAATGTGGGTATAGCATCAATTTTCAAATCCTTACAGGTCTCATCTACAAAAATTTCCTTTGTGAAATGTTCAGCACACACCTTATAGTGGCCGTTGAGAGCTTGAATTAAATCAATTTGTAAATTACTACACCATGTGTGACGTAATTCAAAATTTTTAGGAAATGGAAATAATTTGACACCGTCTTCCTCTTTTTGCCGACAATGGCCGACACAACACACTTCACTCGAGCTTAACGTACGAAACGCTTTTCGTCGAATTTTTGGAGCATTTCTTATTATTCTGCCGTTGTGACCCAAATTAATAGTGGGTACAGCTCCGTTTCGTATATGCTTCTCTTTGTAAAAGGCACAAGCTTCAAAATGATGATTGCACAATTTTATTTGATAATAGCGCAGTTTTTTCCTACCCAATTTCAAATTGAAACACCATTTTCTTTGTAAATTTTTATCATGTTGAGGAAATTCAATGAAAAATGTATCTTCACTCTCGCGACGTTTACAATGTTCCAAGGAACACTGCGTCTTATTGGCAATGGAAATGTGTTTATCTCTACGTTGTTTAACGCAAAATTGTGGTGGACTCTGTGATTCATTTAAATCTAATGTGGGTAAGGCCTTGGGCTTTAGTTGACCATTTTTGCGGAATAAATATGATTCAAAATGATTTGAACATAACCTCAATTTTGCCAAGTTTTCGGTGTCTTCCCGTATACCAACATTGATACACCATTTCTTTAGTTGTTCGGGATGTTTCAGTGGGAATTTATAAAGCTTAATTGGTTCCTCCTCTTCCACCTCGCCCACCATCTTTGCCGCTTGTTTCTTGCGTCGACAGTGTTTGAGGCAACATAGCCGAAAAACCGATTGCCTACCAGATTTAGGATTACCATATGGTGGTGGAGGCGTTAGTATTTGTTCATTATCACCTGCTGCTCCACTTGATTTCGCTTCAGGTTCACCAAGAAAACTTTTTACCTTACTAATGTCGTCATTGTTGTGTTGGGGCACACGAGAGGGGCCCAATTTCAAGGTGGGCACAGCACCGGGTTTAAGTCTGCGCGTACCAATTACCCGCAGTTCAAAATGATCAATACAAACACGTCCAATACATTCTTCTGGTTGTAAACCCAAATTGTCACACCATTTCTGTAGTAGCTGAGGATCCTTGGGAAAGCCATAGGTTGTTAAATGTTGATCCGGTGTCTTTTCCCGGCCACAATATTTCAAACAACAACGTGGTGCAATACTATTTATTGGTCTATCCGTTCGAAGGGCAGTCGTTGTAATATTATTAGTTGATGTTGTTGTTGTATTGGTGGTGGTGGTGGTGTTGTTGGTACTAGAAGAATTTTCATCTAGATAATACGTGGAGTTGAGAAGACCACCATCACCACCGCCCCCATTGTAACTGGCTGGGGTTTCAGCCCGTAAATCTTTATAACTGCTAGCTGGGGTTATGGAACCATGATCTCGACCAAAGGAAGATCTAGAAGACATATCTAAAATATCTTCCTGTGTAAGAGGCACCAAACTGACACGTAATTCTTTCAAGTTTAGCGAAGACCAATGTTGAGAAGTGCCACGTATACGTATTTTAGACAAATCGATTTCTTCTTCTTCCTCCTCCACCTCCTCTTCCTCTGGCTCCTCTTCGACATCCTCATCATTTTCATTTTCATCATTACTATCATTGCCTTCATCATCTTCATATACTTCCATTTCTTCATCTTCATCATCGTAGTCACCATCCTCCTTATTGTCCACCAAATAACCATATTCAAAATCTTCATCATCAAACATTTCTTCATCATAATTTTCGTCGTCATCTTCTTCCTCATCATCGTCGTCGTCTTCTTCTTCATTTATCTCCCCATCATTTGCTTCATCATCTTGTAGTGCACCATCACCATTTGTCTTCGAATCCCATCCATCCCCTTCCATGGATTTCATTTGTAATTTTTGCAGCAGCTCCTTATTGTCATAAGGCAATGGCTGGTCGTCATGACCCAAATTAATTGTGGGCACAGCTCCATTTTTCAATTTCTTTTCGCCAATAACTTCCTCCTCAAAATGTTCATGGCACAAACGGCCCTTACACTGTTCAATATCCAATTTCAAATTCGCCGCCCATTTCTCTAGATATTCTGGTAATTTAGGAAATACAAATGTCCTTAAATCGTCCTTCGTGACTTGATGATTTTTACAATGTTTCAAATGACATCTCTTTAACATTAGCATATTTTGCAGGCGCCGTGGATTGTCGAAGATGGGTTCGGCATGACCCAAATGCATTGTGGGCATAGCCCAAGGTTTCAGAGTTTTGCCATCCAGGCAGCGTTTGTGGAAATGTAAATTGCACACTTTGATGTTTTGCAACTTAGTTGCCTTGTGTGAGGGTATTTGCAGATTGTGCAACCATTTGCGTCGCATTTTCTCGTGGCTGGGTAGTGAGTAGAAACGAACGCCATGCTTAAGACGTGATCTACGACAACTGGGTATATAGCATTTGATAATATCCAAAGACTTTTTAATTTTTACTTGTTTCAGTGCGACAGCTTCGTTCTGTTCTGAGGTCACATCGTCGTCGTAAACCTCCTTTCGAATTGTGGTCTTATTATAGAACTCTGGTGCTTCGGTGTGGCCCAAATTGAGGGTCGGCACAGCCCATGAACGTAGACGCATACTACCGAAACACTGCTTTTCAAAATGCTTGGAGCAAATCTTGTACAACGGTGTTAGATGGCGTGACATTTTCAAATTTGCACACCATTTCTTTAACATATCATCATCGGAGGGGAAATTGAAAAGTTTTACACGATTCATATCTCCTTCCTGAAGACTTTCACAGTTATCCACAGCACATCTCATTATTTGAGGACCAATCATACGTTTATCCAGACGAGTTAAATCGGGATTTTTATAAATATTTTCCCCTGTTGAGTTCTTCTTCAAGCGCAATGTGGGTATGGCCCAAGGACGCAGACGCTGAGTCTCTGTTATGCAATATGGTTCGAAGTGCAACGAACAAACTTTATTCATATAACGACGATGTTCATCCGGTATAATACCAGTATTGTGTGACCATTTCTTGGCAATTTCCTTGCCATAGGGAAAATAGAAAAGACGCAATTCGGATTTTAAGATACTTGAGGAGCAGCCTTCAACACGACATTGGAAGCCATTGATCAACAATGACATTTCTGTCTTTTGATAGGCCATAACAAGTTTATTGTAGTCAGCTTCAAATTCTTCGCTTTGTTCTTGCTCATTCTTCAATGATTCCATTTGCTCCTTAAGTTTGCGGAATATCTCCTGGTAATGTAAACCACACAATTTGCTTTCCATGGGTAGCTCCTCCTCGCGGCCATGATTGATTTGGTGACACCAAAGTTTTCTTAATTCCTCGGTTTCGGGTAAATCGTATGGCTCTCGCATAAGACTCTTGGGACCACGGCATTCTTCTACACAACATTCAGCTGGTGTACTCAAGGGATCTAATGATTCATCTGGCTCGGCCTCATCCTCTTCGTCCATATCCATATTTTCTTGATTATTTTGTCGCTCATGCTCGCGTTCTTTCATTTCCTCCAGTCTCAGTTGTTGTCTTTCCATACGTTCAATATCGCGCTTTTTAATAAATAGATTTGGTCGTATGCGATCTGGGTTGATTTTATATAAATCGTCATATTCATCGTGGCCCAAGTTTATGGTGGGTATGGCACCGAAATTCAATCTTGTCTTACCCACACAAATCGGCTCAAAGTGATCGTTGCATATCTTGTATTTTTCTCGCTCCTTGAAATCGAGGAAATCCAGTTTCAAATTATGTTTCCATTTGCGGAACAATTTCAAATGTTTGGGGAAACTATTCATTTGGGCATCGTCATATTTACGTGTCTTGCCACAATTGGGCACACAACATTTGTATATATATTCGCCGCTGCGTTGATCGGGTGGAGGATTTTGTATTATCTCAATTTCATCATCTTCGCTGTGACCCAAATGCAATGTGGGCACAGCCCATTTGTATAAAAGTTTCGGTCCTTGACATTCGGCTTCGAAATGTTTATAACAAATTCGAACCCCGACACAGTCGTTGGGAGTCATTTTCAAATTGTGACACCATTTGGCCAAAACCTCTTCATCATCTCGAGGGAAACGATACAAACGCATGTCCTCGCCTTTCCGCGAATCGCAGCCTTTGACCACACATTTTTCCAAATCAAAATATGAACGTTTCTCGTTGGGATAGAGATCATCGGAATCATGACCCAACTTCAATGTGGGTACTGCACCAGGCGATATACGTCTACCGCCAACTGAATGCGGCTCGAAATGATCAGAGCACACTCTCATCAGTGTTGTCAGTCTACCCTTGGGCATATTTTTAATGTTGTGACGCCATTTCTGCATTAATACACGATTGTTAGGGAATCGGAACAGAACCACACCATCGGCCCGTGTTTTACGACATGTCTCGACAACACATTGCCGCTGGGTACCACCAATTCTGGGCTGCTTCAATCGCGCTGGATTTTGATAGATTTTATAACCCGGATGAGTGTTGAGATTAAGTGTGGGCACAGCAAAGTTCATGGGACAACGTTTCGTCAACACCGACGGCTCGAAGTGACTTGAACAAATTCGTCTATGAGAACTACCCACCAAGGGCAATTGGATATTGTGACACCATTTCGCCAATGTTTGCCTATTGGCATATGGGAAACGGAATAGCTGCACATTGTCGTGGACTCGTGTTTTGCGACAATGCGGCAAACAACAACGTGGCGACCACTTTATCATATCATGTTTTGAACTACCCATACGTTCAGGTTTTTCCTTCTTCTTGTAGACCACCTGGGTGGGTGGAGGATTTTCGAATAGGTGCTCAACTTTAGATGCCAAATTCAATGTGGGCATAGCCCAATTCAGCAAACGTTTTCCGATACAATGCGATTCGAAATGCAAATTACAGATTTTCATTAAGGGCAATTGGCCGGCATCCACTTGGAGATTGTGGGCCCATTTCAATAGCTGTTCAGCATCCTCGGGTGGCCGATACAATTTGATGTCATCAACCTGGGGATTACGACGACACGTTGAGACACAGCATTCTCCTTGTTCATCACCATTGTTCGGTGCAAATGGTTTAGTCCAGTGTTCGGCAACCTCCTCTTCGGTGGGCAATTGATGGGGCACGTCTTCATAGCCCAAATTAATGGTGGGTATGGCCCATTTCTCTAAGCGTTTATTACGCAAGCAACGGTCTTCAAAGTGTACCTCACATACGGCATCGTTGAAGAGCTTTGTGCCATCCGGTACGGGCTTATGTAAATTCTCACACCACTTCTGCAGCAATTCGGGATGGGTGGGGAAACGATGCAAATTTGCATGATCACGGTCACGGTTCCTTTTGCAAGTGGGTACACAACACGTTTCACGTATATTCAACTTCTTAATAACATCAGGATTGCGATAAATGTTGGGATCATCATGACCCAGTTCCAGGGTGGGCACAGCAAAGGGTCTCATGCAGCCGCCAATGCAATAGCTCTCAAAGTGGGCACTACAAATTCGTACACTTTTGTGTAGCTTATCCAAATCCATTTTTAGATTGTGGCACCATTTCTTCAGTTGCTCTGGTCTCTTCGGTACCGTATGCAGGGTAATATTATCGGTGTGGCGGGTACGCTTACACGTGGGCACTAAGCACACATCACCTAAATCTAAGACATTACTTTGTGCTGTCCCTTGTGCGCCTAGACTGGAAATCTTTGTTGCCATTGAATTCATAAAGACTTCGTCATAGATGGATGTTGATGAACCACCATCTCCCATGTCGTGCTGTTGCTTCAAAAGCTCTGCAAACTTTTTCGCCTTCGATGAGGTCGAGGCCTGGCTTGAATTTGAATGCGACGGTGGAGGGGGAGGTGTATACAATTCATTTTCATATATATCAAAGGTATCATTGTGCCCCAAATTCATGGTAGGCACTGCACCCGGATTTAGTTTTCTTAAACCTAAGGCCTCTTTGACAAAGTGGGAGGAACAAATTTTATGATTTTTACCTCTATACATGTCGGGATCTAAGCGTAAATTATAACACCATCTCCTCAGTAGAGTTTCATCACGCGGAAACCGATACAACGACAAGTTGCAATCATAGGAACGACTACGTCTACAGAATGGCAAGAAACATTTCTTTTCTTCCTGGTAAATGTTGGGATTGTCATGGATCTTTCCATATACAGTACCCAAACGCAGCGTGGGTATGGCCCAGGGCTTTAGGCGGAATTTACCAAAGCATTTCTCTTCGAAATGACGCGAACAAAAGAAACGATTTTCTTTGCTGTGTATGGGCAGACGTGAATTCTGGCACCACTTTATTAGTGTTTTCAAATCCCTTGGGAAAACATGAAATTTAACATTGGTTTCTCCCCTCTGTGACAAACAACCGGGCATATAACAACGAGCCATTTCACCCGACGGAAACCCACCTGAACTTTCACGATTCTGATATAAATTGCCCACATCATCATGACCTAAATTGAAGGTTGGCACCGCCCAATAACTTAAGGAATAGCGCGCAATACAACGTTTCGGAAAATGCAGACTGCATACCCGATAAACACCATAATTGACATTGGGATCATAGGTCATTTTCAAATTATGACACCATTGTATAAGGTATTTTTCATCTCGTGGAAATGGGAAGAAATTCAGGGTGGGCGAAGAGAATTTTCTCACACCACATTTGGGCACACAACAAAATGCATCCTCATCCTGTATGGCTTCGGAGTTTTTGGAACTTTTCTTTGTCGGTGTGGTGGTACGTTGCAGATTAAAAGAAAACGATGAATTCGTCGAACTCGACTCATGATAGTCTTGTAAGAACGTAAGATTTTGATTGGAATTCGAACCGAATTCCTGTGAATTCGATGAATAATCATCGAAATTTCCAAAATCCGATTGATCCATGGGTGGATAAAAATCCGGTTCTACTTTAATTTCAGTTTTTATTTCCACATGTGGTGCTGCAAAATCAGGTATGTCATCGTAATTATCTGCAGCCGCTGCTGATGATGTTGATGGCGATGACGAATGTGTTCTATGCAGTGCAGATGATGTTGATTGGTGGAGGTGTTGGTGTTGTTTTGAAGGCAAGCGCGCTGTACCTGGGGTTTTCATTGAGGTTATATCTGTAAAATGGTAGAGATACTTTTTAATGTAATAGCAACGATTTGTTATTAATATGATAATTTAATTACCTTTTATTAGGAAGCTTGTGAGATTCTCTGTTCGATTCGTTGCAGTTGTTGAATGTTTATTGGTTTTGGCAAAACATTTAAGATTTTTAAACTCTGAAAATAAATTAATATATATATATATATATATATATATAGGTTAAATAAGTATGTAATCATTTGAATTTTAGTTAATAATAATGGAATAGCGCTAATTTAAAAGCGACGAAATAGTTCCGGACGATTGTTCATTTTAATTTTTAAGTTTCTATTAGAAATTAATAAAGTTTCAGATTCACTCCATCCATAACTGGTGGCACAAATTGATTAATCTCTCTCTTGAACAATGCAAATTGGGTGTTTATTTATCCTTGCATTTTTGACTGCCGAGGTAGATAATTGCCAGAAATTCAAGAAATTCATAAATGTTCGAAAATTGTCTTTGGATCGAGCATTTGAAAAAAATGGTAATAAAGGAAGTTCAACGAAAGTAGAAAATTTGGTTATTTTAGCCACGTCAGAGTTTTAACAAATCTAAAGATCTTCTTGGAATCTATTTCGTAGAAGACGTAATTTGCCGAACTGACTGTGTCTGCTGGAAATGAGAGAACTAATCCTCCCTCTTACTATGACACAGCAGCGAAGTAGTTCTACGGCGAGAGAATTCTGGCCAGATGGCTTTAGAAATCTTGCATCTCGGATCTGTTGACTATCTGTTACCGACTACTTCGCAGTAGCCAATGAAATAGCCGATAGGAGATTGTACAGATACCTCTATTGGAGATTGGACGACTGCGAACCCACCCCCTCGACCCAACTCATATTTTTTATCAAAAATTTGTACTCTTTTGTCGTCATCGAACATCATATTCCATTAAGTCCACTTGCTTCGGTTTGGCTCCTGCAAAGTTGTTCTACTTGAATGAACTTTCCTTTTGACTGAGATTAAACTCGTGTCGTTGCGGATCGTAAAAATGCTAAAAACTGTGTACAGGATTTAGAGGATTTCCGTAGTTTGAGAAGTTAATGTTGTCACAGGACAATTATCACTTTTGCTCCTATTTGAAGCATTAGAACTTGTCTTTCTTTTATCCGCCTGTTTATTATCTTTCATACCCATGGCTACGAATTTGAAAAGTGCAACAACTTAATTATACAATGACGACGCTTTTATGTCGTTGGAAGACCGTTACCTTCCTAGGCGATTCAAAAACTCCACACGCTCTACCGAGGGTTTAAAAATACATAATCTTTCTTGTCGACATGGTCCTAGTCTCTGCGGGAGTTGTCCGTGTACAAGTTGTAGACATAATGCAGATTTAAATTTATGTGCCGTTAAGGATAGTGTTTTTAAAACTTATTCCAATATAGTTACAAACTTTTAATTTACACCTACATAGGGTCAACATAAAGGATGCAAGTGATTATGACTCTCCGTTATCTCCTATAATCGCTTTTAGTCCAAGCATCCATTTTAAATTTGGAGTCTCTCTCTCAATTGTCGTTGGCTTCAAAACTAATGGATAGTCTAATTTTACGAAAGAATTGATCGATCTAGGATGCGTCTAGAGAATCCTTCTACAGTCGTTAATAGTGTGACAGTTAAAGAGCACCTAGTCAAGAAGAGATTGTGAAAAGTGTCAGTGAAAAAGTGGTTAAAAGAATATCTTTGCAACTAAGGCAAAGAATTGTTGAGGTGACCAGGTTTTTAACGAATACAATCTGAAACAGTCAGTGATGGATAGAGAACTGATTATTTTAGTGATGCTAATTTATTCTTCGTCTATCAGGGCACTTGGCCATTTCCTTTGAGAACCTCAAACGAAGATAATATTACACTAAATGGCCTTCAACAATGTACCTACCCTCTTTGTCGTAAAATTTGCCACAAAAATCCGGATTCCCCACATAATGATCTTCCAATTCCAATAAATCTTGAAAACATAGACGGCATATACAACAATCGTAACGTGGCTGTTGACGATGATCCACCAAATGGGAAAATAATTGATCGCGTTTAGCAAAGGAGACACAGCATATCTGTAACAATAGGAATACATATGAATGTATATGTATAAATAATACCCATAAACACCATGACGAAATATGGTCCTAATCTATTAATACTTACATTGCATTTAAACATTTCATATTCATGCTGGCCAAATTCATGATGTTCACATTCATCAATGGTCTCATAGTATTTGCCACAGTATTTTTGGCAGAAATAACGATTCGAACGATGCAACTGCTCATGGGCCTGTAATTCCTCATTGGACATAAAGGACATGGGACAAATGGAACATTTGAAATCATATTCAACGATACTGCATGTGGATAGAGCAACATGTTGTGCATAGTTTTGGCGCTTTAAAAAGACCTGCTTACATCGCTGACATATGGGCAGGGTAGAGGAACGTTCTGTTTGTAATTTGCGGCGAGGAAAGTTAAGAGGCTGGAATAGAAAAAAAACAACACAAAAGAAAATAAAATCAAAACATATAATACATAGAAGGAAAGTGAAAATACAACAACAAATAACTACTACTTGTCAAAGCAAAAGCATAAAAACAAAACATTACCCAGCAGCAGTCCGACCCTCCCCCACTACTACTCTACACGGCCGGCCCAGACGACATCTACATCAGTAAAAATTGTGAATGGAATAACATTTGTTTATATTTTTTGTTATGTATGGTGATGGTACATTGCCCTAGTCAAGTCTGCCTGGTTTGCTTGCCATGCATCCAGTCAGCCATCCACCAGACATTTAGTATCACAAAAAAAAAAAAAAAAACAACAACCGAAAGACCTGTAGAAAAACCATGGCAGGCACACACAGCCAGACAGACATCGACCGTCTAGAGTAGAATAGTAGTTCATGTTATTGTTTACATTTTACCCATTACCCATAACCATTTTCGTTTGGTTTTTTTTCTGTTTTTTGAGTAAAAGCGTTTTGTGTTTTTGTGCCATTCTCTTTTACCTTGGGTTCGCTTTTTATATTAGCCAAGGATATTGGTAGTGGCTTTTCCTCTGCCATTGTGACTGCTGCTGATGATGATGACGACGATGATGTTGATGCTGCTGGTGCTGGTGGAGCTGGTATGTCGGAATTTTCTGTTTTTACTACTACTGATTGTGTTGTTGGTGGTTTTTGTTGTTGTTGCAATGATGTCTGAGGTTCTTGTCGTTGTTGCTGTGATACATTTTCATTTTGATAAACAGGAGGCCTTTGATGTTGGACTTGCTGAGAATGCTGTTGCTGTTGTTGCTGCTGCTGATGGCGTTGATGATGGTGATGCTGCTGTTGTGGCTGGTATTGAGCCTGTGACTGTTGATGCTGCTGTTGTTGTTGCTGCTGATGATGATGTCTTTGTTGTTGTTCTTGTTGCTGTTGTAGTTGATGGTGATGATGATGAGACTGCTGCTGCTGATGATGATGAAGATGTGGATGATGTTTTTGCTCTTGTACTGCGTGTTGTACACGTTGTTGATGTTGTAGCTGCTGTTGTTGTTGCTGTTGATGGTGTTGCTGTTGTTTTCGTTCTTCATTCATAGTAAATGTAGTATTGTTTTCAATTTGTGGCGCATTTTTGTGATATGGCGGCATTTCATCCAGTGGTTCAGCTGTATATAAAACAAAGACAAAAAAGGACAACAAGAAAAAAGTTTGTTAGTCTTGAATGTTAACAGGCATCTACATCATTTAAACAGAACATACACACATATATATATATACAAAATTTTCGCAGGAAACCAGTTACATATAAATTTATTATGATTTGAAGGTCATTAAATACGACGACTGCGATGACGACAAAGAGAACGATAATAATGACAGAAGGGAGAGAGAGAAAGTAAATCTGCATATACGCAACGAGACTACGACGACGATGATGATGATGACAGCATCATAATAGTCAGTCATCATTATTGTGGTGGCCCATATTTTTTCCAAGAATTCAATATAGTACACAAACTATGGCCGATTGTATAAGGAACGGAAGAGAGTAAGAGAGCGAAGGGAACAGGAACAAAAAACAACTGGCCAACAGATAGGGAATAGGCCGGCTATATGTTGGTATATATGCATGCATATACATATGTATATATGCACGTGTGTATCCGTTTTTGCACATATACAAAACATACTTTTCAAGGTAATGTTGAAAGAGAGAAACGCTTTTACATGAAAATATGTTTTTCCAGGAAAACAATAGGAAATTCTGTCGAATACAACAACAATGGTATATGTAATATATCTGAGATATCCTGAATTCTTGGAAATAACTTTTTAAATGAAAGTCTAGTCTTTGTAAACGAAGTGTTTAACCAACGTTGTGGTTTATAGGGTAATGATATTTAAATATTGCGTTTTACACACAAAAGCATGTTGGTTCCTTTAATGATATCAACACAGTTGAGGGCGTCAAGAAAACATACCTTCGATAAGGTTTGTCACTTTGAAACCAGTAGTTTGTAAAGTTCGTAAATCAAAAGTTCGTGTCCAGTAAAAACATGAAGATTCCCAATGTCATAATTTTTAAATTAAACATCATGGACTACAGATATGACAATGACACCGAATGGACAAGGTCCAAGGTTCTCGGGAACACTAATGCGCGATAGACAACTTTTTGTCTTCTTAAAAATACAATATGCAGAGAGATAAACAGGTTTATAACAAGTGTAACAAATATACTAGAATATAATTTATACAATTGTAGTTGAAATAATTAATTTTATTGATTTTGAAAGTCCAAATAAATATATATACAGTGGTGGTCACGTAACTAAAACATTTATTGTGGTAAACATTTTTTGATAAGCTCTCGATTCGTTATTTTTTAATTTAGATCACTTCGACATATTGCACATAAGGGGACCCCCATTCTCAGGGTCAATTTTTTTGATTTAATTCGATTCTACACTAATTCAAGAATGTCTCTACAAAATTTCAAGTGAAAATCTCAAGAACTCTTGAAGATATAGCCGATTTACTGTGTCAGCATCAAGTGGCGGCTAAAGGGCTTCTCAAACTTTAAACGCGTTTTTCTCTTTTACGAATGGCGGGCACGATAACTCAAAAACTAATAACCCAATCGATTCCAAATTTTTACACGTTTCTCTGTGAGTGTATAGCTATCGTATGAACTAGGATAAAGCCAATCGGTGAAGATCTTCCGTATTTTTAACTTGGTTTTTGGTCAAAAATCGGCGATTTTCCGAAAACATTTTTTCAAAGGTCCGCCATTTTGTTAATCTTAGAGCGAAGTCAATAATCCTAGTTCATACTAGAGCCAGACATGTACTCTTTCTATCAACGTCGGAATTTTCGGATTCCGATGTTCTAGTGAGGAGTTATCATGCCCGCCATCAAAAATAAGGACTTTTCTTTAATTGCAAAAACAACAACGGAACAATAACAAAATTTTTTTGTAAATTATTTTTCTTCTCTTTTAAATCTTCAAATATATATGTGCAAAGTTACAAACCTTAACAAGCATTGGTATTGATTTACCAGCCCATTGAAAATCTTGAAAAATTAAAATCGAGAATGGGTGGGGTTCCCTTAAGAAATTTAGTGTGAAAACAGAAAGTTATTCCATGCAATTTTTCCATAAAGTTATTCCATGCAATTTTTCCATAAATAACGGTTTTTATGAAAATACATCGACTTTGAAGTGACCACATAATTGTGTGATTTTTTTACTTCACTGCATTTTTTTGAAAATATTTTTAAAAAAGCTATTCAATTCAGTTTTATTATGTAAAATAAGCACCGATAAAACCATATACAGATAAACAATTTTGAAAAAAACATCTGTAAAATCTATCAAAATTGCCAAAAATTTGTACAGTACACCTAACATTCAGAAAATCACCCTTATTATAGAAAATAAAGGTCCGAATGCACCAAAAATTGCTATAATTAATAGAAAACCATAAATAATTCTCAAAATAAGTAAATATATTGAAATAAAAACTCAACACATGGGAATTAACCTAAAGGAACTATATTGAAGAAGGCCGGAATATATTTGCAGTATGCGAGAAAATATCTATTGATATTGACATTTATTATATCAAATCGATTGTTCGAGTAGTGCATAATATATTTTATCCAAAAATATATCACTCACAAGGGAACGAACAGAGATCAAAGCATATGCTGACGAGTGTGTGCCAGAAACACAGCAGCATGTTTGATAGAATAACTTCCACTTAATTTTTTTTAGCCTCAAAGAAAAAAATTTTACAATTTGAAGTCTTGTGTTGAGCATCAAAAATGCTGCTGTGTGCCAGAAACGTTTACTCCTCAACATAGGCGTTGATCTCTGTTCGTTCCATTGTGAGTGATATATTTTTTGATAAAATATATTCTGTACTACTCGAACAATCGATTTGATTAAAAAAAAATTCCAATATCAATCGATATGTTCTCACATACTGCAAAAATATTCCGGCCTTCTTCAATATAGGCTATCGAAGTTGAATCGTTCCTTTAGGTTAATTCCCATTTTTTGAGTTTTTATTTCATATAGTTATCTATTTTGAGAATTATTTATGGTTTTCTATTAATTCTAGCAATTTATGGTGCATTCGGACCTTATTTTCTATAATAAGCGTGATTTTCTGAATGTTAGGTGTACTGTACAATTTTTTTGGCAATTTTGATAGATTTTACAGATTGTTTTCAAGGGACACGATTTTCAGATAAATTGGCTGTATCCAATTTTTTGTATCCAATTTCCAATCTAAAAAAGGATCAGAATGCAGTTGTGTGCAAAAGTGTATGTACATATGTTGGTACATTTTCTACTAAAACGTCAATAAAAATTGTTCTAGCTAAGATATTTCAACGAAAATTCAGATTATATCCTGGAGAAAAAATAATAAAAAATTTTAAATATAAAAAAAGGTCCATTATATTGTCAGAATTGTTCATAAAAGACGAAATATATGATCGAAATGTATCACATCTGGGCGCTCAAGATTAAGTTGCTCTAAAATTTTGAAAAAAATCGAAGATGGAAAATCAAACCTGTTTCCAAATGAATGGCAAAGAATATTACTGACATTCACATTGAAACTCTACAGCGACATCAAGTAACGCGAACTGTAAAACATGGCGGGGGAAGTTTGATGGTTTCGGGTTGTTTTACATGGTGGGACGTTTGTCTTAGAAGGTTATCAAAATATTTTTCTAAGCTATTTGCTAGAATATGTTGAGAAAAGTGTATACACCCAGTTGATTTTTCCGTCGATTCTGCGTTTGGTTTTCTTTATATTGGACTTTTATTTTTCAGAAAGAATGTACAGTATCTCCCAAATGCAAGGATTTTGTTCATATCCTATTTAGGATAGTTGAATTGAATCTATGAACAGAAAATTGTTTTATGATTACCGAAAAATTAGGGGCACAAAGGGTTAAATCCATTTTATTTCGCTTAAAACGATCCAAACTAGATTGAGAAATGTTCATTCTTATGAGTTTTTGATCGACTGTTAACAAATGCGGCACCCATCTTACAGAAATCTTTTTCATCTGTAGTTCTTCATATAAAATTGAATGGGCTCGATCATTTGATATGCCCATGATATTAGGAATTTCACGCACTTTTATTCGTCGATCATTAAATACCACATCATGCACTTTGGCTACAATTTCTGTTGTTGTTGCTCTTTTTGGACGTCCACTACGTGGTCCATCTTCAATGGTTGTACGACCACGTTTAAATTTTTTACTGTTGCATATGAAGGAGCACTTTTACCTAACACATTCACGATAACATTATGAATTTCATGTCCTGATTAAACTTTTTTATACATTTTTAATGACTGCACGCATTTCTAATTTTTCCATTGTAAAAAAATTGGGGATGCGTCTTTTTTGAACACCTGTTTCTATATGAAGGAGTTGCCAAAACGAAGCTAAATTTACCATATTTTCATAACAGAAATGGAAGTTTCCAAAACACTTAACTTTTCTTTTGTACTAGGCTAAGAAGTTTCCGAACTGTCCTCGTACATTGGTACACTTACCCTATAAAAGGGTTTAAATCTTGAATACAATACAAAGTGGAAAGGAGATTGAATGTGTACATGGGAAACACTTCACAACTACTTTAACAAATGGGGACTCAAACTCAATGTTGGAAAGTGTGTAACTGTGGTTTTCAAGGGCAGACCCAAGTCCACTGCAAAGAGCTTCAGCAAATACATTCCAACTATAAAGGTTGGCAATGAATTCATTGGAGTGTCAGACAGGATGAAATACCTTGGTATCATCCTGCACGTAAGGTACGACTTCTCTAACCATGTGGATTATGTGCTTTTAAAGGCCAAAAAGATGAACTTTACCTATCAAAGACATTTTCGAATGAGAGGAGGACTTTCTTCGGTGGTAAAGTTTCTAATATACAAGCAAGTGATTCGTCCCATCAGCACCTATTCCTTTGCAGAATGGGCAGACATATCGTCTGCCCAGATGGAAAGGATTAGAATATGGGAGAGAAATATATTGGCATCATGCGTAGGAATCAGACCAACACTGGATAGCAATGGGATATATGGACGTCCGGCTAATAGAAACATCTACAATGCAATCGACTTCAACCGAATCGATGTCTGCATGATGAAATATGCCCTCAACTTCTTGGAAAGGAGTCAGCTTGTAGAAAATGGAATAGTGGAGCAATACCTGGGGTACAACGAGGAACTCCACTCCATACTTAGGAAACACCTCCCTCCTGCAGCTTTGCTGAAGTAGATTTGAACCAGATATTGAGCCTGTATATAGCACAGCTCAATAAACCAGAAATTGTAAATATTTTAACTGTAAGTATAGTTTTAAGGTAGTTTTAAGTTAATTTAAGGTTGGCCTATTTTTTAAATTTTTAAGGCACGTAAAATTTGAAGAGTATGTATAAGTACTAGACTCGCCTAGCATTCCAAATGCGGCGCTAGATATAAAATAGTTGGTAGTCTCCTTCATTGTAAGCCATATGACATAGGAGAAATAGATTTTAAGATTTTAATTTTATACTGTAGCCATTAAGTATAATGTACAATGAAATAATTTTCTTAATAAATGTCAATTATCAAATCAAATCAATACAATGCAAATCCCTAAAGTGTCGACTATATATAGTAGAATTTATAAAATTTTTATGGTCGGAATTAATAATGAATGCAATCCTTTTCAATCTGTCTCATATAGAGTAAGTTCGGGCAATGTGGTGCAACTTTTTAACTTAACTGTAACTGTAACATAAAGAATATTTATAAAAATATGCTTGATTTTTGTTGCGAGTTACTTTATGTATTATCTTAAGAATGACATTATTGTGAACATTTTGATTAAGTATCAATGATTTTTATATTTTTGATAAGTTTATTAATAAAATTGCCAAACTGTTCAATATCGTACATTTCTATTTTTCAGTGGCAGATACTCGAAAGATGAATACATGCATATATGGTATAGTTTAAATGTCGTATTTTTCTAGATGTCCATTAAGATAAATTCGTATTTAACTAGCAGAGACACAAACCATGTATATTAACATTACAGTTAACAGAGCTCTGTCAAAGTTAACAGAGCTACTCGAAAAAGTGATATTTATGAAAAATTTCACTTTTACTAAAAAAATCACATTGTGGAATATCTGAAATAAAATATTTTTCGACTTTTAATAATTTTTCCTAAATTTGCCCAATTTGGGTATTCGATAATTGCCAGCAGCATTACATATACCAACATATTTAATATGCCCACTCCTGCTAATAGGACAATTCTTCCAGGACAACATGGGTATCGTTGGAAAGGTTATTGCCTCTACTTTCCATTTCAGTAGTAAAAAGTTTCAAAAATGTTGCCGGATTGCGCCGTATTTAACAATTTTTGAAAATATCCTTGATTAAGGATAATTTGGTGCCCATTGGTCCATCAGGACAATTCTTCCAGGACAATATGGGTATCGTTGGAAAGGTTATTGACTCTACTTTCCATTTCTGTAGTTAGAAGTTTCAAAAATGTTGCCGGATTGCGCCGTATTTAACAATTTTTGAAAATATCCTTGATTAAGGATAATTTGGTGCCCATTGGTCCATCAGGACAATTCTTCCAGGACAACATGGATCGTTGGAAAGGTTATTGACTCTACTTTCCATTTCTGTAGTTAGAAGTTTCAAAAATGTTGCCGGATGGCGCCGTATTTAACGATTTTTGAAAATATCCTTGATTAAGGATAATTTAGTGTCCATTGGTCCATCAGGACAATTCTTCCAGGACAACATGGGTATCGTTGGAAAGCTTATTGTGTCTGCTTTCCATTTATGTAGCTAAAAGTTTCAAAAATGTTGCCGGATTGCGCCGTATTTAACAATTTTTGAAAATATCCTTGATTAAGGATAATTTGATGCCCATTGGTCCATCAGGACAATTCTTCCAGGACAACATGGGTATCGTTGGAAAGGTTATTGACTCTACTTTCCATTTCAGTAGTAAACAGTTTCAAAAATGTTGCCGGAAGAATTGTCCTGATGGACCAATGGGCACCAAATTATCCTTAATCAAGGATATTTTCAAAAATCGTTAAATACGGCGCCATCCGGCAACATTTTCGAAACTTTTTACTACTGAAATGGAAAGTAGAGGCAATAACCTTTCCAACGATACCCATGTTGTCCTGGAAGAATTGTCCTGATGGACCAATGGGCACCAAATTATCCTTAATCAAGGATATTTTCAAAAATTGTTAAATACGGCGCAATCCGGCAACATTTTTGAAACTTTTAGCTACATAAATGGAAAGTAGACTCAATAAGCTTTCCAACGATACCCATGTTGTCCTGGAAGAGTTGTCCTGATGGACCAATGGACACCAAATTATCCTTAATCAAGGATATTTTCAAAAATCGTTAAATACGGCGCCATCCGGCAACATTTTTGAAACTGTTTACTACTGAAATGGAAAGTAGAGTCAATAACCTTTCCAACGATACCCATGTTGTCCTGGAAGAATTGTCCTGATGGACCAATGGGCACCAAATTATCCTTAATCAAGGACATTTTCAAAAATCGTTAAATACGGCGCCATCCGGCAACATTTTCGAAACTTTTTACTACTGAAATGGAAAGTAGACTCAATAAGCTTTCCAACGATACCCATGTTGTCCTGGAAGAATTGTCCTGATGGACCAATGGACACCAAATTATCCTTAATCAAGGATATTTTCAAAAATTGTTAAATACGGCGCAATCCGGCAACATTTTTGAAACTTCTAACTACAGAAATGGAAAGTAGAGTCAATAACCTTTCCAACGATACCCATATTGTCTTGGAAGAATTGTCCTGATGGACCAATGGACACCAAATTATCCTTAATCAAGGATATTTTCAAAAATCGTTAAATACGGCGCCATCCGGCAACATTTTTGAAACTTTTCACTACTGAAGTGGAAAGTAGAGTCAATAGCCCTTCCAACGATACCCATGTTGTCCTGGAAGAATTGTCCTGATGGACCAATGGGCACCAAATTATCCTTAATCAAGGATATTTTCAAAAATTGTTAAATACGGCGCAATCCGGCAACATTTTTGAAACTTCTAACTACAGAAATGGAAAGTAGACTCAATAAGCTTTCCAACGATACCCATGTTGTCCTGGAAGAATTGTCCTGATGGACCAATGGACACCAAATTATCCTTAATCAAGGATATTTTCAAAAATTGTTAAATACGGCGCAATCCGGCAACATTTTTGAAACTGTTTACTACTGAAATGGAAAGTAGAGTCAATAACCTTTCCAACGATACCCATGTTGTCCTGGAAGAATTGTCCTGATGGACCAATGGGCACCAAATTATCCTTAATCAAGGATATTTTCAAAAATCGTTAAATACGGCGCCATCCGGCAACATTTTCGAAACTTTTTACTACTGAAATGGAAAGTAGAGGCAATAACCTTTCCAACGATACCCATGTTGTCCTGGAAGAATTGTCCTGATGGACCAATGGGCACCAAATTATCCTTAATCAAGGATATTTTCAAAAATTGTTAAATACGGCGCAATCCGGCAACATTTTTGAAACTTTTAGCTACATAAATGGAAAGTAGACTCAATAAGCTTTCCAACGATACCCATGTTGTCCTGGAAGAATTGTCCTGATGGACCAATGGACACCAAATTATCCTTAATCAAGGATATTTTCAAAAATCGTTAAATACGGCGCCATCCGGCAACATTTTTGAAACTGTTTACTACTGAAATGGAAAGTAGAGTCAATAACCTTTCCAACGATACCCATGTTGTCCTGGAAGAATTGTCCTGATGGACCAATGGGCACCAAATTATCCTTAATCAAGGATATTTTCAAAAATCGTTAAATACGGCGCCATCCGGCAACATTTTTGAAACTTTTAGCTACATAAATGGAAAGTAGACTCAATAAGCTTTCCAACGATACCCATGTTGTCCTGGAAGAATTGTCCTGATGGACCAATGGACACCAAATTATCCTTAATCAAGGATATTTTCAAAAATTGTTAAATACGGCGCAATCCGGCAACATTTTTGAAACTTCTAACTACAGAAATGGAAAGTAGAGTCAATAACCTTTCCAACGATACCCATATTGTCTTGGAAGAATTGTCCTGATGGACCAATGGACACCAAATTATCCTTAATCAAGGATATTTTCAAAAATCGTTAAATACGGCGCCATCCGGCAACATTTT